TGGGCACATGGGGGTGGGGGCCCTGCATGCCGGCGGGAGAGGGATGGGAGGGGGGGAAAAAGAGGGTCGGTTATGTAACCTTGCGGGCAGGAGGGGGCAAGTCCTGGGAGGTTACATGTAGGAGGGGCGCCCCAGCTCCTGCCCAGGGCCACAGGTGCTGTGGGGGGCAGGGCAGGACCCCAATTGGGTCCAAAAGTACCTTAAAACCTTCTCCTGGATGAAAGGTTATCCCATGTAAAGTTTGGTTGCGGTAGCTCTTATAGTGTCCAAGTTATTAGCGCATAAACATTCTCCTTTACATATTAGATAGGGTGGTACTTGGGACAGATGTGAGCACAGGCTGGCAGTTAGGGAGGTGGCAGAGGACGGGAGGGGTGAGGAGGAGTGGGGCACTGTCTGTGTGGAGCACAGATGAAATTTAAAGAAGTGGTGGGTGAGGGGTGGGAAGGAGCAGGGGGCTCTCCGGGTGGGACACAGGCAGGTAGTTAGGGAGGTGGCAGGGAAGGGAAGGGGAAATGGCAGCATGCAAAAGAGCCAACCCTGCTCCCTCTTCTCTCTCTCCGCCCCCGCCATGTCTGGCCCGGCACTGGTTTTAACCACCAGCGCCCTTTTCCACGCCGACATCCCTGCTGTCCCTGGGTCCACTTGCCCGCCGGTTTGCACGCCAGCTGAGGCACGCCTGCACCATGAGGGCGGTCCTCCGCATGCTGCCTCTGTGCTAGTGCCATAGGCCCAGAACAGCAGCAGCCTGAGAGCGCATTGCCGCCGGTGGAGCTAGCGTGGGGGGAAGTGGAGCCCCCGTCACACCCTCCCACAGTACCTTAAAACCTTCTCCCGAAGGAAAGGTTATCCTATGCAAAGTTTGGTTGCAGTAGCTCTTAGTGTCCAAGTTATTAGAGCACAAACATACAAACATTCTCCTTTATATATTAGATTAAAAGTTATTTCACATGGGCAAATAATTTTTCACAACAAATTGTGTTATATTAAAACAAGACCTGAAAAAAAATTATAAAATATACCTAAAACATAATCTATAATAAACAGTTATGACTTTCTGATAGAAGTACATTTTCTTTGGTGGCCCTGAGAGCTATCCGTTTTCGTTTGTGCGGCCCTCAGTAGGCTTCGAGTTTGACATGCCTGTTCTAAAGCATCTGACAATCCAATTTTGTCTCCGGAGCTATCTATTGACCATCCCTGCTGTACATGATGGAAGAATGCATCACCACATCTTCTCCAAACTTCTTTATATCCATAGTCCATTCATCTGCAGTAAAAAGACTTCCTGTAACAGAAGATGCAAGACAGGGAGGTGATGCCATTCCTGGCAGTGCTATCAGCTCCTGATTTGCCTGCTTCCCATGGGAGAGGAAAAACACTTAGTGTGTGTTTTTATCTGGATTGCTAGAGCAAAGCATTATCACTTTCTCCCTCTAATCCCCAGATATCTTGCAGGAAAGTCCGAATTGTAACAGATGTGGAAGAATAATTTTTGCCTTATACAGTTGATAAATATCTTCCTTTAGTGAATCTCAGTATCAGATAATCTCTGATAATCAGAATCAAAAGCAGTAGCGTGGGGTGTCAGGTGGTAGCTGGTTCATGAGGGGAGCCAGTTTAGACGCCAGCTCCCCTTGCAGGCCAACTTACCTGTCGCCCTGCACTGCTACCTCTGAGACACAGGCAGTAACGCAGGGTGGCAGCAGCCTCTGCCCAGGGTGAGGTCTGAGCTCCCAGATCTAGCGGGAGCTGAAACTGAGCTGGGCTGCATGCCCGCTTGGCTCCTAATACACTTAAAATGCAGAGCCGCAGCAGGGGTAGATCTTGGACTTGGCGCAAGCCGGTACTAAGCCAGGCTGCCGACCAGCCTGCTAAAAAATTTACTGGCCCAGTGTGTGCATGTGTGTGAGGGCGGAGATTTGTAGTCCATTAGTCCATAGCATTAACCAATAAACTTTTGCTTATCAGTTCATTAACTACACTGTTACATCCCTAATGTAAACTACCACCAAAAGCGACGAGGGGTCCTGTGGCACCTTATAGTCATAAATTAACAGATTTATTGGAGCATAAGCTTTCATGGGAGAAAGCTTATGCGGCCAATAAATCTGTTAATTTATACGATGCTACAGGACTCCTCATTGCTTTTGCATATTCAGATTAACCCAGCTACCCCCCTGATACTTACCACCAAAATCAAAATTCTTTCAGACTTATAGTGTTAGTAGTATTAAGTACGATCTTTGGACAGGCATAGAAAGCCAACAAACCCAAAGCAACAACAACAAAAAATTCAAGCCTTTTAGCTGAATCCTGAAATACACTGATGTACATGCACTATAAACATACATCCTGATCACTTATTATAAATTAACTGATTACTATATGTGGTACAAACATAGATCACAAATGTGGAATGTAGCATAACAGATCCAGTGAGGATACCCCTTTACATAAAAATTGTTTTAGATTCAAGTACAATATACTAACACTATAAAAGTGATATATATATATTTAGATACATATAAACATGACGCAGTGTATATAAACCGATGTTCACTCTAGAAGCATTTTGCACAACCCAAAGTTAAAGATGCAGATCTGAAACATGCACATCTATGGACGCACTGATTAGACACAAACGCAGCATATGCACTCCTTCCCACAGACGGTAAGGCAGACATACCCCGATGTACTGTCACACCCAGTACCCCCCTCAAGTACTGTACAGATCCAACTCGCAGTGATGCACCTACATACTGTTGTCTGACAGAGACGCACAACTCACCCCAGCCCCACTTGACTTACACACAGACACGTAGCAGCTAGTGACCTAAGTGTAAGCACAGGCACGTATACACATGCCCAACTCACCCGCCTTATATGCCTCCCCACCCCCCATAGGGCAGGTGCCCTATGGAGTGTCTGTGCAGCTTTGCCCTCCCGCCATGGACATACCCCGCTCCCC